TGAAATGTTTTATAGTGTTAGATGAAATCTATTCTTGCTTTATACTATAACTTTTGAAATAAAAAACACATTGTTCTTTCATTTCTAATGTACTATTGATTCATGCTTTGGGATTCCTGCCCACCCAGACAGGTCAATACTGGCCTCTTTTCTGCCACTCTTTCCAGCATCAATGTATTAAAAAAGTGAAAATTGAGACTGTAAGAGAAAAAGAAAAGGGGTTGACTATACAGTTGACTGTGCAGTCTCAGAAGACAGAAAGGAAGGAAAACTGAGACTTGAAATTTACTCAAGTCTGTACATTGAAGATGTATACGGGTGTGAAAGATGGAGACAGGTTAGTGTTCAGCTGTGATTTTTTTAAGTTTTGGCATGGTGTTATGCTATGCCACTTTATGTGTGGCTATTTCTAATGGTACAATTTTCTCCAAAAATTTTCAATCAAAATAATGTAATATTCTCCATTTTTGTAAGTCATGGCCACTGTTATCATTAAGGTTGTGTGTCAACTTGGCTGGGCCATGATACTCTGTGGCTTGTCACTTATGATGCAGTTTGTTAGTCATATAATGATGTAATTACCTCCACAATGAGATCTGATACAATCATCTCCATGATGAGATCTGCCATGAGTAGCAAATCACTTGAAAGAGAGTTTCCTTAGGGGGTGGCCTGCATCCAATATATGCGGACTTTCTGGCAAAGCTCGTTGGCTTCTGCTCTGTTCTGGATCCTGCATTCGACTCCTCAGCATCTGACTTATGGTTCTTGGGACTTGGGCCAGCAGCCTGCAGTCTTACCTGCCGATCTTGGATTCGTCAGCCCTCACAGTCCATGAGCCAGCAGCCTGCCATCTAACCTGTGGATCCTGGGTTCATCAGCCCCTGCAGCTACATGAATCATGAGAAGACACCAGCCTGATGCCTTACCCACAGACTTGGACTTGCCAGCCTCTACAATCGCATGAGCCATTTCCTTGAGATAAATCTCTCTATATATATATACATATATGCTTCACTGGTTTTGCTTCTCTATAGAACCCAGCCTAAGACATCCACTAAGTGATTTAAATCAGCACTATGTGTGGCAAACTACCCTGTGCATATTAATAGACCTGGAATTTCTTAAACTTAACAGGTAAATATGTAAATTGATTTTTTCAAATGCATATTCAGATGCCATGTCAACATTTACTCATTTTTTTTTAATTCCAAGCTCTGAGTTCAAGTCTATAGATTTATCTATTTTTATAACAGTGCCGTACTTCTTAACAACCATAGACTTTTATTAGATACAGTCTTCTTTTGTATCAGAGTCTTTTATAAGGAAAAAGCTGTATTTTAAAGATGAATTGAGAGATTTCATTTCTTTCAATTTTGACTCTTCCCTTTGAAATGCATGTATTGTTACCCTGATTATATAAAGTTTGGTAGATTATTCCACGTCCTACAATTTTACACACACATGCATATATGTATCTATATACAGAGATTAAGATATTAATATAGACAAGTATATTAAATTTTAATAAATGTTAAAAGGACAAATGATACTTCCACAATGAGTATTTTGGACCAAGTTTTTCAGTGAAGACGTCTAAAAAGTATGGATGAAATAAGACAGATCTCCCTAATAGTATTAAATAGCAAGACACTGAGGAATTGTTGGACACAATTCAGAAAAATATGGAATTAGAGAGAGGAACCAAACATTTGAGATGAATTTTGCTAATCAAGCCTGATTCAGTTAGAAAAGTATGTACCAAGGAACATATACTTTCCAGAAGCCCACACTTCCCAAAAGTGGAAGCCATACAAATATGATACAAAACTGCAAAGCCTAACTCTAAGTCATCCAAATGGAAATCGAGCTTTGAATTTGTTTTAAGGTTTCTGAGATTGGACAACTGGCATGGAAAAGAGAAAATCCTTTTTGGAAGAAGATAAAATACATCTTCAATTAAGTTTTTAAATAAAACATCTAATATATTGATAGTTGTTGATCCTTGACAACAAATATATGAACAGTGGTTGTACTTTGTGTATGTTTAAAGGTGTTAAAAAAAGAAAACCTAATGAATATGACTACCATAGAACAACCTATCATCAGTTAATGAACCAGCATAGTCAGCAGAAACAGACACACAGACTATAAAACACCTCTGCTCACCTTGGTCATGAGGATAAAAGGCAGAAACTGAAAACAATAAAAGATATGGTACATTTGAAAGAAACCAGCCAGAAATTTTGTACTGGAACATATAATTACAAAATTAGGAGGGGTAGATAAGTTTAATGCCATTTGATACACAGCTGGGGGAAGATTTCATGAACTTAAAGATAGGTACAAGAAACCAATAAACACTCTGCAGAATAAAGCAGAGCTATAAAAGTTGGAAACACCGAAGGGATGGTAAGCAAAAGGGGATAAAAAGCTCATGGTGTCATGGATTGAATTGTGTCCCCTAAAAATATGTGTATCAATTTGGCAAGGCCATGATTCCCAGTATTGTGTTAGTGTCCACCATTGTGTCATCGGATGTGATTTTCCTATGTGTTGTAAATCCTATTACTATGAGGTTAATGAGATGGATTAGCAGCAGTTGTGCTGATGAGATCTACAAGATTAGATTGTGTCTTAAGTCAATCTCTTTTGAGATATAAAAGAGAGAAGAGAGCAGACAGGGGACCTCATACCACCAAGAAAGCAGCACCAGGAGAAAAGCGTGTCCATTGGACCTGGGGTCCCTACACCTGAGAATCTCCTTGACCAGAAGAAAACTGATGACACGAAGCTTCCTCCACAGTGGAGAAAGCCTTCCCCTGGAGCTGATGCCCTGAATTTGGACTTGTAGCCTACTAGACTGTGAGAAAATGAATTTCTCTTTGTTAAAGCCATCTACTTGTAGTATTTCTGTTATAGCAGCAATAGGTAACTGTGATAGTTAAGATTGTGTGTCAGATTGGCTTGGCCATGATTCTTAGTGTTTTAATGTAATCATTCCCATGATTGAATATGCTGTGAGTAGCCAATCAGATGAAAGGGAGTCTCCTTGGGGGTGTGGCCCACATCTGTATATAAGCAGACATTCTGGCTTTTTGCTCTCTCTGGATCCTGCAGCTGCTTCCTGTCGTCTCATCTCCCATTCTTGGGACTTGAGCTGTCAGCTTATCTGCCGAACCTGGGATTCATCGATCTGCACAGCCTGTGAGCGGGAGCCCTGCTCTCCGACCTGCGGATCTTGGGCTTTCCAGCTTCTGCAGCTGTGTGACTTGGGAAAGGCCTCTACCCTGATCCACGGACTTGGGAAGTTCTAGCCTCTACAATCACGTGAGCTGTTTCCTTGATATAATGTCTCTATATATATTTATACACTTTACCGGTTTTGCTTTTCTCGAAAACCCAGCCTAAGACAGTAACTAAGACAATAACGAATAAAAAGGTGGGCCGAAGTGGGCAAACTTTTCGTATAGTAATTCCCACCTCTGTGGACCATCTACTTTGTATGGAAAGTCTTCTTTCCCCAGGTTGTTTCTGGAGTTTATTTTATTCAACACTTTGAACTGTATCTCACACTTTTGGTACCTCTGATTGAAGGAGATCAGAACTGTTCTCAATCCCTTGTACCATCTGAGGGCTGAGCCTCCTCCACTCTCATGTAAAACCCTGTTTCTTTTACTGCCTTTTGGCTATACCACCATCTCTCTATCGTCATTACTATTGTTTGCCCACCTCTCATTTACCCCACTGATTAATGACTATGGAAGTTGGCTCATCCTTACCCTCTCTCCTAAATTCTGCATCACCGAGTGTCTCCATGGGTTTTTATTTAATTTTGCCTCTAGTTTCAGTGACCTCATTGCTGGGAGTTTTCCACTCTACTCCACTTCAGATAACCAATTCAACAGACTTGTGGTCATCTAGAAGTGTTCCGTGCTCTGAAATCAATGACTCTCTCTTTAAAACATCTGTTTACCTCCCTAGAGCTTGGCCCACATCTGTTTCTTGATTGAATAAAACATACAATCATGTAATTTCCATCTCTCCTTTCTCAGTGCACTGATTCTCCTCCTTTCAGACACTATGAATATGATGATGCATGTATCCAATGATTTTATGAAATCAAGATATATTATACCCCTGAAAAGTCCTGTGAACTGCTTCCTACCACTTACTAGTAAACTTTGTGTAAAACATAAAGAAATCAAGTTTATTAAGAATGCTTTCTTCTTAGGGAATCTCTGTTCAACTTTTAAAAATTACATTTTTTTAAATTAAAAAAAAGTATAAGTATATAGGGTAGAAAACAAATTTTGAACATTTAAAATATTTGATTATGAACAGCATTACTGTAGATCACATAAGCATCTGTAGCCACAGAATGACATCGTTCTGAAAACCAGGAGGCCTAGTTTGACTATTAAGGAGCATATCTTAATCTTGAACATTGGCTTTAATCCTACAAGGACACTGTCCTCAAAAAAGTGTAGACAAAAAGCTAAGGGACCAGAAGGTCAAACCTTTTCAGGTACAAGAATGGAGATATTTAGCCTAGGAAGTATAATACCTGGGGAATACCTGTCACAATATTTGACTATATTAAGAGATCCATATGGAAAAGGAATTATATTTATTTTTTGTTTTTCTGGAGGCAGATAAAGGTTTGATGTGAGAGCTTTCTAGATAAGGAGATCTGCTGAAATAGTATACCATTTAAAGAACCAGAGGTTCTACCATGCCAAATTACTTTCTTTTAGAAAATACATATCAGACATTTGACAAGATTCAGTCATGATAAGCATTAAGGATCCCAACATTGTCTCACTATCAAAGAAAGGAGTAACAAGGTAAGGGAGAAGACTAAAATAAATTCTGGAATCAGAGATATGGGTATGAGTTCATGGTTTTAAAAATATATAAATACATATAGAAATAAGTATGAACATGTCTTTGTGTGTGTATACTCACATATATTTCCTAGCTCTGTCCACTCTGAGGGTCCAGTAAATATAAGAACACCAAATGCCCAGATATTTGTTTCTAAATATCATTCTCTAATAAAAGGAACAAGGTTTTCTTGGAGAAAAGATTGATTTCAGGGCTGAGGTAGGAAAAGGATAAGATGAGCCTTGAAGACTAACAGAAAGTAATGTATGGATTATGATGGGGACATGTCAAAAAGTTACAGGAACCTACTTTTAAGGGAGCTCCTAATAAATATTGGAAAATTTCAGCAATAAAAGAAACAACATATATAGTAATACTGATTAATCTATACTGATATAAACAGTTTAATCAATAAACAGAAAAGGGAAAGATATTCCTTTCAGGATTCCAAATAATAAACACAGAAAAAATTATTGGAACAGAAAATACCATTAGGTAAACACCGCAGTAATATTCATTGTAGTTAATTATCAATGAATACTAAAATCAGTAGGCCAAAGTATAAAAAACAATATTTGCAGTCTCAAAGTATCAGCCTATGAGAAACTTATTAATTATAAGGGGTGAAAAAGTTAACTTTACAGCAGGAAAGAATGGAAGGAAACATGTTAAATATAAAAACAAATCAAACAACTCTAAAATCAAATACAAAATCATTTATTTTACTGCATACAGATTAAAATCAAAGCATTAAAAAATATAAAACAATAGTCAAGGATACTCCCTGCAGCCTCATTTATAATAATTTATAATAACCTTAAAGTAAAATTTAGCTAGAACCGAGAACTTTAACAAACACTGATGAGGATACCCTTGCAGTTACAATGAAACCGTCATTTCTCCCAAAGGAACAAAGTAGCTCTAATGATCCCTTCTTTGAGTTACTACTGCTTTGTTCTGTAATCACAGAATTTAAAAAATTTGCTATTTAAAGTATCGCAGTAAGAACGAAACATCCCACTTTTGACAGATTTGTCCATTGTGAGTTGTTATATGTGAGGTGAAGGATGAGGTGCAACTAAAGGCTTTTCAAATTATTTACATTTGTAAGCCCTCTCTACACTGAGTTCTTATATAAAGTGAGATGTGAGAAACAGCTTAAGGCTTCCCACATTCCTTACATTGATAAGTCCTCTCCACTGTGAGTTCTTAAATGTTTAGTGAAGTGTGATGACTGACTAAAGGCTTTTCCACATTTCTTACATTCATAAGGTCTCTCTCCACTATGAGTTCTTTTATGTGTAGTGAGGTTTGAAACGTGACTAAAGGCTTTCCCACATTCCTTACATTCATAAGGCCTCTCTCCACTGTGGGTTCTCAAATGTTGAGTGAGGGATGAAGCACAACCAAAGGCTTTCCCACATTGCTTACATTCATAAGGCCTTTCTCCACTGTGAGTTCTTATATGTTTAGTGAGATGTGAGGCGTGACTAAAGGCTTTCCCACATTCTTTACATTCATAAGGCCTCTCTCCACTGTGAATTCTTATATGTTGAGTGAGGGATGAGACACAACTAAAGGTTTTCCCACATTCCTTACATTCATAAGGCTTCTCTCCACTGTGAGTTCTTATATGTGCACTAAGCTGTGAAGAACAACTGAAGGCTTTCCCACATTCCTTACATTCATAAGGCCTCACTCCACTGTGTGTTCTTATATGTTGAATGAGTGATGATACCCGACTAAAGGCTTTCCCACATTCCTTACATTCATAAGGCCGCACTCCACTGTGAGTTCTATTATGTGTAGTGAGAGATGAGGCCTGACTAAATGCTTTTCCACATTCCTTGCATTCATAAGGCTTTACTCCACTGTGAGTTCTTATATGTTGAGTGAGTGATGAGGCCTGACTAAATGCTTTCCCACACTGCTTACATTCATAGGGCCTCTGTCCACTGTGAGTTCTTATATGTTTAGTGAGGTGTGATGACTGACTAAAGGCTTTCTCACATTCCTTACATTCATAAGGCTTCTCGCCACTGTGAGTTCTTACATGTGTAGTGAGGTGTGAGGAACAACTAAAGGCTTTCCCACATTCCTTACATTCATAAGGTCTCTCTCCACTGTGAGTTCTTATATGTTTAGTGAGGTTTGAGGATTGCCTAAAGGCCTTCCCACATTCTTTACATTCATAAGGCATCTCTCCACTGTGAATTCTTAAATGCTTAGTTAGCAGTGAGGAACAAGTAAAGGTTTTTGTACATTCCTTACATTCATAAGGCCTTTGTCCATTGTGAGTTCTCGTATGTTTAGTGAGGTAAGAGGTGCGACTAAAGGCTTTTCCACATTCCTTACATTCATAAGGCCTGTTTCCACTGTGAGTTCTTGTATGTGTACTGAGGGATAAGGCACAACCAAAGGCTTTCTCACATTCTTTACATTCATAAGGCCTCTGTCTATTGTGAATGCTTATATGTTTAGCAAGGTAGGAGGCACAACTAAAAGTTTTTCCACATTCCTTACATTCATAAGGGCTCTCTCCACTGTGAATTCTTGTATGTTGATTGAGCGATGTGGCCTGACTAAAGGCTTTCCCACATTCCTTACATTCATAAGGCTTCCCTCCACTGTGAGTTCTTCTATGCGTGGTAAGGGATGAGGCACAACTAAAGGTTTTTCCACATTCCTTACATTCATAAGGCTTATCTCTATTATGAATTTTTTTATGTAAAATGAGGGATGTAGGAGAACTATAGGTTTTACATTCTTTACATTCTCGTTTATGACCTTTCACATGTGTCTGACAAGATAAAAAACTACAAAAATCTTTCCCACATGCATTACATTCATAGTGTTTCTCTCCAGTGAGTGTTGTCAGAGGACTCTCAAGGGTTGAGATACAAACGAAGTCTTTCCCACATATCTTCCATTTATAAGGTCTTTCCCCAGTAAGAGTTCTCATAGGAGTGCTTAGGTAAGAGGGACAAGTGCAGGCTTCTCCACATTTCTTACACTGGTAAGTACTGCATCCAGTGTGAGATCTGGTATGATGCTTATGTAATGAGTGATCCTTGAAGGCTTTTCCACACTCACAGCATTTAAAAGGATTTACTTCTGGAAGCTTTGTTTTTACCACAGTAAGATTTGGAGTCCAGCTGAAGGTTTTTCTACACTTATTGCTGTCGTTACTTTCATGGAGGTTCTCTATGATATGCCTTCTGTTAAAAATAGGCAACATGGTGATAAATCTGTTAAATGTTAAATGGTGATAAATAAATCTGTTCCCATTTTACCATTACCAAACAAAGTGAACATGCAAGGTTTTTGTCCTGACTTGTCTCACGTTTCAAGGTTAAATCATCTAGCACAGATACTACTATTATTGTCACTGTTTATTTAAAACGAGGCTTTCTGATAACTGTGTACAAGTAAAATATGTTTCAAATACTCAATGTATGACTCACATTTATAAAATTGTACTGTGAAAAAATCTCTGAACACATTATTTTAGAGCTAGGTTTATAAACATATAAATACACATATATGTATATTTTAATGATAGCTTGGGCCTTTCTCCTGAGGTACTGTTTCCTCCTGTTTGAATGACACTCACCTCAAATGTTTCCACTGGTTATTATGCTGATCTTTACTGCCATATGATTCGGAGATTTCTCCTAACACGGAGGACCAGGTGTCATTCTTCATTAATCGCACTATTGTATGTTCACTGGATAACTTATCTCCATCATTAAGATTTTGAGAGACTGACCAATGATTCAAGTTGAGGTTCACAATATAATACAAACAGAAAAGGATTAGGGGAAAAAAGCTGCTGTGAACAAAGAAAGATTAACCACATTTCGCTGTTTCAGCACTTTGACAATAGTTAAAAGCAATTCACCAAGAAATACTTCATGAAGATTGAGTGACAGTGACATGAAATAGTTATAATTAGAAGAGCTAAGTAAAAAGATATTGGACACAATACACATATAACACTAAAGAAGGAAAATGGTTTCCATGACCACAGGTGTGAAAGGATTGATAAAGTCAGAAAAGTAAGCTGTGTCTGTTGTCTCCTCAATCAAAAGAGACTTTTTCTGGCTAACTGAAATTGAATTCCCTCCATGCAGGGTTGGGCCTTCAAAAAAATTCTTGCTTTCCTGGTGTTCCCTGACACACTGGCCCTGGATGAGTCCTATCTCCACTCTCCTCTGAACTTTCCCTTACTTCTCAGGGAAAACAAATGGTATAGCTGACATGGTGCTCATGGAGAAATGCATATCATGAAGGAAGGCAGTGTAGAGCAATGAATATTTCCCTGACACTGAGCCAATACCCTGATCTTCAGGATCTCTGAAGATGAGTTTATTTGCAGCAAAATAATCACGTCACACTTGTAATAAACACAGTAAAACTCTCTACGATGTTCCAAACCACAAATCCCTCAGTGCCCCAAAGTGACCCCTGAAGCCAATGCTTACACTTGTAACAGTTAAGAACCTCAAATCTTTTAATCTCAAGAGAAATGAAAAGTTAATTTGATACACACAGCTTTATGTTCATGAGAAAGCCAAGATATGTGAGCTCCATAGAACAAGGGACCATGTCCGTTTTTAACAATTTATTCCAATTCCTAATCGAAATACTAGAACAAAGTCGGTGAGTACAGTATTTTTGTTCACTAAAGGGATAAAAAAAATTACACCACTCTTACCTACTGAGGCCAGGTTTTTGAAGGTTTCCATCGTCACATCTTTGTACAGCTTCCTCTGAGCAAGATCCAGCAAAGCCCACTCTTCCTGGGTAAAGACCACGACCACATCCTCAATAAGCACTAAGTCCTAAAACATTCCACACATTCTGGATCAGCAAGGCAGCAAGTATTCCAATGTATACAAGACAAAGGGTGAGACTAACACTCCTGGAAGACTTAAAATTCACAAGGATTTGACACAAGGTTCTGTGTTCTAACAAGGTCTACTCTAGAGTATAGCCATCAGCCTTTTCCCTTCACTAACTACATTCACTTCCTCACTGATTACATCCTGTCTCGTAGACTTTGAACACAGTGAAATCATCTCTCCACAGTTTGACTGGCACCAATTCCAGTCTTATTCCTCTCTCTTCATGGTCTAGAACAGTTAGTAAACATACAAATTAGAGAAATGCTCTAATTCAGATCATCACTTCCTTGGGAACAAACAATTTCACTTCCTTCCATAATACTCACCAAAACACTCAACAAAACAGGAAGCACAAGGAGAAAGCAAGAAGAGGTATTAACAACTGGGAAACACTGCAGAATGGCAGTTTTTCCTTTTGCCCCTTATAGCCATGGATATAACACAAACTACCACATCCAAGGTCCTGAGAGGGTCATATTTTCTTGAAGAACTCCACATCAGGAGGTGACAGGTTCACCGGCTGAAAAAATAATATTCTTTTGGAGAATGATTTACATGTCAGTCATCTATCTTTCAAAAACTCAGCAGTTGTCCTGTCATCCTCTCTGTCCCTTTCACAGAGACAGGCAAAGGTACTTAAAAGTTAAAAAAAAAAAGAGCTCATGTGAGAGACAAGAAACAAGAGAATCCAGATCTCCCAATTCTCAAAGTTAGATACCTGTAGAAACTGTACACCAATTATCAGTGATAGCTCCCCTCAACAAACATAAACCATACACATACACACTATTGTTAAGAGCACTAACTGCAGAAACTAGAATATCATGCCCTTCTGTTTTCTGAGAAAAGGTCACAATTCTCATTTTGTAATGACTACACAACATGATGAATGTAATCAATGTCACCAAATTATACATGTGAACATTGTTGAATTGGCTAATGTTTCTGCCACTAAAAACTTAACTTTGTAAGGAGTTTGGAGTGCAGAAAGTTTAGCTGTTAAATTTCCCATGAAACTTAAGGAACAGAGACTTATACACCAGCCCTCTAGAGGCTCCACTTTGAAATTTTCTCACATTTACAGCCCCTAGAAGACACACAGATGACTACCTGAACCCTGATACTAGAGGCCCCAGTTCTGTAGGACTGGCCTCTGTGAAATAGCATCAACTCATTGGCTTCCTCACGTACTGAGAGAAAAGGCTGCTAAACTCCACTTCGGATGCTAAAATTGGACTGAACAACAAAGCAGCTGTAGAATAAGACTTGTCTTGTCCGGGAAAAGGTGAAGTGAGCTGTCTATGCCATCTCTAATGAATCCTGGTACGATGGTATCACAACTAATTTTGAGCTAGAGCCAAAATCTAAGTCTCCTCTACTGCAGTGGACCAGGTTACAGTAATTTTAAACTCATCAAAAACTCTAACATTCATTATGCAACATATTAATGATAAAATGTTCCATGAATTAAGTATGATGTGTGAAATGTCATGCCAGAAGTTTTGACATACCAGCTCATTTATACCTCATGACTCTCTTAAGCAGATATAATTTAAAACAGTTTATAGCTGAGTAAACTCAGAGACAATCAATCACATGGTCAATGCTGCCCACATGTAATGTTGCTGAGCCAGTGTCAGAATGCAGGTCAATTTGCCTTTGGAGCCTAAATTCCTGACAACTACGTTTCTGTTCATATGCATAAGTTTTGTTATTTTTCTGGCTATGAGTCTCCAATAACACCATGGATGATCTAGAGCTCTGCTGGGTACTAGAGAGAGAAGACAAAGAGGGCTCCTCTTGCCAAAGCCCTGTGCCTCAGGCAAGACGGTTTCCCTTCAGGCCCTTACCTCTGGCTCCTTCATTTATTAAAATTGATTTGGGTAATGGAAGACAGAGACTACTTAATGTTGGCAAAGCAGATACAACAATGAACAAAACAGCACTATCAGGATGCACATGGATCATAAGTTTTTTGGGTGTGGATAGTAAACAAAAAAGTGAAATATAATGAAAGTGATAAGTTCTATGGAAAACAGAGCACCGTAAGGGGAAAAGCAGTGAGAAACACAAGCATATTTATCTTTAGTGACTTAGTGCAGGAAAAGTAAAATAATAATTTTAGAAAATATTAGTGCAACCTGGCTTGTTAAGGTAGAAAAAAAAAAATCACACTTTCAATTCTAAATGCTTGCAGGTGGACTGTGATGATTTTGCAAACACTCTACAGGTTTCACATGCTCGTCAGCTTCAACAAATCACGATATAGAGGCACAGGAGTCAAACGGCTTCACTAACCTTCACACTCAGGAAAGGGAAAGATAGATTGCTTATATCCAGAAAAGAAAAGGTCATTAGCAGTAGGTTAAACTTCTAAGTTTGGCACACTGGAAAAATAAAAGCAGCATAAATGAACAGTACAAAGAAAGTAATATAAAAATAAAGACCATAGTAATGACACAAAACACAAATGAAGACTTCCAGTTTCTGGCCCTATATATAAGGACTCTGGAAGTCATCATTCCCATTCTCATAACAGGAAAAAACGTGAGCATAATGAACTCAGAAAACTGAGGTCACAGGGAAAAATATTTCCCCAAAACTGGAGGGACACACAGGCAGATACACAGAATCATATCAAAGCAAAAACCTAGGAGCAGAAACCATATGAACCTATACATCACTTCATTGGCGTAAATTCAGCATAGTGCTCGGTGTGTGGCAAATTCAAGTTTTGCTTTTTGGAACTTTCTTTCTTCCCCAAATATTTTCGATCCGTGGTTGGTTGAATTCATGGATGCAGACTGGCGGATATGGAGGGCCGAAGGTAATTGTTAAGAGTATTTCTTCCTTGTATGTGTGCATCGAATATTTTTGTTTTCTTCACTTATAAAATATAAGGTATAAACAGGGTTAGTGCATTTTCGGTTGTATACATGTTAGTTGTATCATGTTAGGTGTATGACTTTCTAATTGTCTTTATTTAGAGACTCTTTATGGTTTAAGGAGACGTGTACAGGTGCCAAGTTGACAAGGGGTCGATTGTGATGGTTAAGGTTGTGTGTCAACTTGGCTGGGCCACGATTCTCAGTGGTTTGGAAGTTATGTAATGATGTAATTTGGCTGTTACATAATGATGCAGTCATCCCCCATGATGTGACCTGATGTAATCAGCTGCAAGGGGAGTTTCCTTGGGGGTATGGCCTGTGTCCAACATATGTATGGATATTCTGGCAAAGTTCACTTGCTTACTCTGGATCCCGCATCTGGCTTGCTATAATCTGACCTCATGTTCTTCGGACTTGAGTCAGCAGCCTGCCATCTTACCTGCTGATCTTGGGATTCATTAGCCTCCGTGGCCTGTGAGCCAGTGGCCTAGCATCTGACCTGCCAATCTTGGGTTCATCAGACCCTGAATCTACTAAGAAGCCTCCAGCCTGACGCCTGACCCAGACACCTGGGACTTCCCAGCCTCCATATCCACATGAACTATTTCCTTGAGATAAACCTCTCTCTCTCTGTCTCTATATATATATATATATACATGATTCACTGGTGCTGCTTCTCTAGAGAACCCAGTAAAAGACATAATGAATTCTAAAATATGGGTATTGTTGTTGGGTGCTTTCAAGTTGGTTCTGACTCATAGAGACCCCATATACAACCGAACAAAACACTGCCCAGTCCAGCGCCATCCTCACAATCATTGCTATCTTTGAGCCCACTGTTGTAGCCACTGTGTCAATCCATCTCATTGAGGATCTTCCTGTTTTTCACTAATTCTCTACCAAGCATTGTCGCAGCAGCAGTAAATGTCGGGGTGGCAGAGACAATAACCAATTCCACAACTCTTGCAGAGAAGTGGGGTCAGGAGGGTCACTCTGAGGAGTCGAACCCCGGCTTCAGTCCCAGGAGTTTATTTATAGTCAATACAGCAAGCAGTGAAGCAAATAACAGAATGGGCTTTGGGTGAGTAACAATAAGTTTCGGGCAAGGGAGAAGGAATTCAGGTAAACAAGCCAATCAGTAACAGGGCAATAGGTTTGGGAAAACAAGTCGTGCCTAATCTCATTCTTATCGCTGACAAGTCTCCAACATATCGTATACAGCATAGAGGCCTGTGGGGGCTGCAGTTGTCAATAGTGCAGCCATGTTTAAATGGCATATATCCCACAAAGCATGACGAACTTTCCTTTTATGTAAAAAGAGTAAGAAGGATTTAACATATTTAGAAATGTCCACAGTTCGCTAATGGTGTAATGTATTTATAACAAAGGAAAAGGCCTGCTCAGCATATGGATCCTTAGAGAAGCCTTTTGAGAAATTTATTTCTGCCAGCTTGTATATTGGTTGAGCAAATAATACTATGGACAATACTAGAGCAAAAGTGTTCCATCTAACCATTCTGATCAGGGCCACAATAGATGGACCCTGATAGAGCTGGAAAAAAATGCGGAACTCAATGTCTTAAAAAGTCCAGACTCACCAGACCAGTTGTGCCTAGAGGACTCCCTGAGACTATCGCCCTGAGATACTTTTTAAACCTTCAACAGAAACTATCCCGAGATCACCTTTTAGCAAAATAACAGACTGGCACACAAAATAAAAGACACTACCCATTAGTACAATGCTCCATTAAAAAACCATCTATATGAGACCAAAAGGTCAACAATTATAGCAAAGATGAGAAGATAAAGGGGCAGGGAAATTAGAGTACTAGAAACGGTACAACCAGAATTAGAATGTTGACACATTGTGAAAAACGTAACTAATGTCACTGAACGATTTGTGTAGAAATTTTCAAATGGGAGCCTAATTTGCTGTGTAAACTTTCACCAAAATATTTTTTTTTAAAGTGCTCTGTCTAAAAATGTGCTTTTTAGACCTTTTTTAGTGTCACTATTTTGATGAACAGAAAATGTTGAGGTAGTCACATT